GGGATAAATTTGAAGTGCAGCAAACTGCAGCAATAATAAAATAACAGAAAAGCAATTAAAAAACAGCTGCTGGTGATTTGCTGGATTAGGGTCGGGTCTGGGTCTGGGTATGGGTCTGTAGTCCAGTCGGATGCGACATTGTCGCTTTAACTGTCGCGATAACCTTGGACAGGGACACAGGAGGACACAATCCTGCACGCTGTCAGCACATAAGTTGGCGCAGCTTACCCTTAGTCAATTATGACATTATGTAATTGCCCGGACAAAGTCGTCTAGCTTTGCGAGGAGCCTTCAGGGGAGACTTCAGATAATTGAGGAAAATCAAGGGTTAAGCCAGATAAGACACAATTTTAAACAGATTTAATTGTGTACTTCAGATGGGCTACTTCTTAGCTTTGACTTTTTATTGTTAATTTTCTCTCACTCCCATTGAAAGCTAAGGCTCGAAAAGAGCACTTAACAACTCATAATAACCAAAATGACTTAAGGGAATAAAAGAAAAAAGTACGCCCTGAACGAGAGAAAAATGGCATAGCAAAAAGAAGCACACCCATATTTAAATTCTATATTCGGTTTTTACATAAAACCATAGAAATTAAATAAAATGTACTTTGATTTAAATATAAAATGTCTTTTGATGAGACCAATATTTAATCTAAATATAAAGTACTTTAAAATAATTATATTATATTAAATGGGTAATATACATATTTATATACATATGTAAGTATAACTATTCGTACTTCTTTATGGTTTTTTCTCTGGGCATATTAACATTTATTAAAGAAATAAAAATACTATAAAGATCTCGAGCACCTGAACAACTATATATTTTATCACTAAGAAACCGCAAGGTTTACGGCTTTAATAAGAGGCTATTGTTGGTAGTGATACTCGTAATATACTTAGTGATCATTTTATGTGATAGATATAAATTAAATAATGATATTTTTCTAATAAAGGATACGAAATCGGATGCTTTATTTCAAACAATTAGCAAGTTGCCCATCACGCGTTAAAGTACGATCCTTTGTTATTTTTGTTATTCAAAGGTACAGACAGATAATGAGTGACAACTGAACGAGAGTTTAAACACATGTAATATTCTGAATAAGCGTTGACTTTGTAGCTTCTTTGATTGGACATCCACATGCTAATGTTTCCCAAACGCACAACATCCTCCTGTGTCGACTTACAAGCTGTCAAATGGCCAGCTGCTGACAGTCCAATATGTTGTGGGTACCCCTTTCAGGTGTGGGGGGAAATGCAATGTTTCAATATTCATCGGTTTCTGGAACTAAGCGAACATTTTGCGTCGCGAAGTTGGTGGAATTTGCATGCTCGCTTTTGCATTTGCTTTTGTTGTTTTTTGGCTACCAAAACTTTGGCCCACAAACCACACACATGGTAATATTCATATTCAAACACCAACCGCCAGACAAAGGGAGAGACAGAGAGGGAGCCACATGCATAGACATCGTTTTTGCATTCATGGAGCATATGTTCCAGCTACCGATTTAGTTTTCGTTTTACGGTTTGAAGTTTCACATTAAAAGCATTTCAGGCAGATAAATAGAGCATGAGAGCGTTTCGATAGGGGGAACTCTCCTCCCTTCTATGATGTGTCTGTGTGACGCCTTATCACTGATAAAGTTTTTGTTTTTGCTCGGGTGGTAAAATTATAATATAATTTCAACTGCGAGTACGAGTACTACTCATGCAAATAACTCAAATTAAAGTTTTTGTGCCTATGGGGCACACAAATACTCACACACGCATACTGGGGCAGACGGCGACCGCCATCTTGTTTTTAGTTTTCGGATAAAAGTTGAGAGCACGCACACGACGAGGCAGACAAACATGACCCAGAGGCATAAAGCACTACTTAGTTATAACTCTCGAGCAGACTACGAAGATGTGTAAGACACTGGCCGACATGACTTGGGATTTATCACTAAAATATCTCTATATTATATACAAATGTTTTGTCCTCTTCCGATATAGTACTCATATCGCCGCACAATATAAGGGAGTGTGCAGGGGACTTGCCTCCATTTAGAGTCCGTGTAGAAGTCTTGCCCAAATTGCAGCTACACCTTTTCGATTCACAGACAAATCTGCATAAAATTCCGACCACAACTGTTACCAATCTCTCACTTAAGACAATGCCCCAACAATTTGCATACTAGTGTAAGTAGTCGTAGATTTAATTACAGTTGCCTGTGCCTTTGCATCCATTATCACTCCATACGCCGAACAATTACGGAGCGGAGCGTTGACGTCGTAAAAATCCTTTAAGTGTGCATTTAAACTATTTCCCAAGTAGCCTCGAAGCGCCTTTGGTGAGCCTCGTCAGCACTCTGGTTGGACAGCATCAATAACGGAAAAGTTTTGGGCCGAAGCCCAGTAACCCGGACACAACAGCAACACACACCAGGCACAAGGCACCAGGCACCAGGCACCAGGCACCAGAGAAGTGCAAAAATTATGGCCACACTTTCATTTTTAGCTGGAGAGGAATTGGGGTCCGGGTCCGGCATGGAGGTGGAATGGTCAGGACAATGCCCCAAACGAGATAAGGAAACGGATGGAGGAAGGAGTTGAGGGAGCGATGCAGTATTCTTGAAATGCAGCCAAGCCGCAACTATGTGGCCTCCATAAAGTTGAGCCGTCACCAGAGAAGTCCCCAGCCCGTCCGCCTCGACCGACCTGGGGTAAAGTTTTTTTAGGGCCAGCTTGTGTTTATAAGATGGCCAAGTAAGAACGTTTGGCTATCAGTTGGCCAGAACTTTACTGCTTACGTTCATCATATTTACGCGTGAGTTTGCAGAAGGAACGGAACTTTGCCGTTGCCAGAGCCCAGAGACCGGGCTACCAAGATACCAGAATATTCGTACAACGAACATGCGGCTCCTGCAACAAACTGCAACGATTGCTGTCAGCTGCAAGGCTCCGGGCGGCAGCCACTTGAGACTCCTTTTGAAAATTGTCCAACAAGGCACCATGCGCCATCCTGCCACCTGCCACCCCCAATGGACATTGCAACAACTGACTGATAAATGTCGCTGCTAAGGCAGCAAATACGACTGAAAACATTTCCTTATTTCCTGCCCGTCCATAGTCCTCTGTATTCCGCTGTCCGCTGTCCGATGGCCGACTTTTGCGACAGGAAACTTTTAGACCAAAAAGGAAACCCAGAGCAGCGGAAGGCGTTCTGGGGAGCCCTTTTTTATGCAAGTCATAGAAATTTACAAGCCCCAGTGACAAGGACGTTTAGTTTACGGAGGAAGGTAGCCAGTGATGAGAGTTTGGCTTTTCTTTAAGGCACAAAAAACACCTGAAAAGAGCTTAAGTCAAATCAATACCTTTTTCAGAATCTGTAAGCCACAATTATTTTACAAGCTTAAAACCAGTTTCAATTTTTTTCCACAGACCTTTGAATTTTTTGCAGGCACAAAAATTTACATTAATTGGAGGGGCTATTTGAAATTCTCAAATTTGTAAGCTGTTTTCTTTCTTTCGTCTTCTGTGCTTATCAAAAAATAAATAAATAATTATTTCTTTAAAAATTCTTTTCAATACCAAAACATATCCACCCACTTAACCTTAACTTTCCCTAACCTTAACTTAAAGCTGTTGAGGCTGTCATCACTGGTGTGTGGCGTGGGACATTTTGCTGGGGGAAAACTTTGCAACATTGGCATATGCAATTGGGTTTGCTGCACATCCTGTCGACAGCTTGGACTTGCCAAAGTTTTTCCACAGTTAAATGTTTTCTTCTTTTTATTTCTTACACTCTTCTCCCTCATATATTTTTTGGGCATTTTGAGGCGGTCAGGCAAAGTTTTTAATGAATTTTATAGCAGGCCGTGTGTTAGGCTCTGAGACGATTCAATCCCCGATCTGAGCTTACGAAACTCTGGGCTATTCGAAGCCATGATAAGGGGGGGCCAGGCCAAAGGTGCAGTCGGGCCATTCCAGCTAATCACGCCAGCCGGACAGACAGACGGATAGACACACGGACAGACAGACCGCTTTGACTTTGATGGGCTGTCGTTGTTGGGATTTCTGGTGTTGATGTCGGCGCTGGTTTCGGCATTAAATGCAGGCACATTAAAGCCGCGCAGAAGCCATCGTCACCGACGGCGACTGACAAGCGTTGAGTCAATTACATGGTAATAAACTAATGGCCAACGTGCGCGCCTGGCGACGACGTCATTCACCATCATCATCATCACATCACCAGCAACCAGCAACCATCAGCGTTCAGCCTTCAACCGACCATCAGCAGATTTGGTCTTTAACACTTGTTGAACTTCCCATGCCAAATATAATTGGCTCAAAAATGAAGTTGATTCGATACTCGGTTTTGGCTTAAAGGCAAGCGTTGAAGTTAAAACTAGGAAGCAAAACAGACTGGAGACTGGAGCTGTGTGACCGCATTCACAAGATATACTCAAAATCCACAAATTACACCAAAAACTATTTCACATTTTTGCAGATATATTCATGTTCACATTGATAATAACAATAACAATTGTAAGAATCCTTTCAATGACGGCCCTAGGCATGCACACATTTATTGATGTTCAGCAAGTAGGTGGACCCCGGGGGACAGGTGCCGTGGATGGGTCGCTCCTTGACACACCGATCGCTCTCAGCGCTGAAGCCCGAGGGACAGCTGCTGGCCCAGGCACCGGCCATCAGGGACAACAGCAGGAGCAGTAGCCAAGTGCATTTCAAGAGCATGATGATGGATGATTGCTTCCTACGCTTTCCTATACACAAAGTAAACACTTTAGACACAGCAAACAAAACACCAACGCCTCGACTCACCTCAGACAAAACAGAAAATGCAACTATTTGTGGGAGTGCAGCTGAAACGGATCTTATATAGAACAAATGCACTAGAGGCAGATTACACAGATTCGACCTCGGTCCAGTTATGGTCATCTGACACGACTCACTGATAACGCCGAACGGCAGCAAAACAACACAAATTTTGTTTTTTAAGTTTCTCTTAGTTTATTTTTATTCGATTTTGCCAGATTAGATGTTACTTCATTTTGTTTAGGACTTGTAGACACACTTGTTGATACTGGCTTTGTATTCGGAATTGTGTGGGCATTCGCCGCGGATGGTACGGCTAGTTATGCACTTGTTGCCCTCATTCTTGAATGGTGCGGGGCATTGAGGCTTGGCCGAAACAGCCACAGCTATGATGGCCAGAATGAAGACTGCGAGCCAGGAGAAGTTCATTTCGATAAAAGCTGCAACACAAAAGTAAAGAAAAATCTTCATTAATCAGTATTCAGTATTTAATATACAGTAAGTTCTGGAAACTATTAAGAGCTGACTCGGATATGGAATTTCTAAAGAATCTTCCAGATAAGTATTTTTTTTTGTAATCCCTCTTCAAAGATGCCATTCCTCCTCCATCACTTACTTAGTTGTCTTCGCTTTGTAGATGAGCAAACTGAAGTAGTTCGGCAGCTGGCTGTCTCTTTTATAGACTGCCGAAAACACAGCCCCAAATCTTTATCGCCCAGCCACCGGATCGAACCTTTGACACAATTAGCGGCACTAGCGCTTTATTGATAAGGTAACAGTGAAGCATCCAGAACGGTTTGGAAGGCTTGGCATATGTGGCATGCTGGATGTCTATCTTCATCAACGGCAAAGCTCAAGCAGCTGTGGGACCATCTGCCACAAAGGAAGTTGGCACCAATCCACGAGGGAGAAGCACAACAAAAGTCATTTGCATGGGAGGGCACACTGCTTCCGAATGGGATCGAATAGGCGCTGAAGTAGGCGTGAAAAATCAGCGATGACGATGTCGATGGCAACGAAAAATTTCGCATGGAGCAGATTGACATCAAATTGTCACGGGAACAGGTGAAACTGGAGGTGGGGCTGAATGTGGATCTGAAGGAGCACTTTTGGCATTGTCCGGCCCTAACAATGGACCTGAGGATTGAGGGCGCCGCGCCATTGCCTTCATCTGATCTGGTTGGCGGCCTGTCACTCGCAAGAGCACAATGGACACGGCCATGGACATGGGACATGGGACATGGTCTCATGGTCTCTCTTCTACGCTTTTGTGTGTCCAGCATATGTCATTCATATACAATTACGTTCGCTATACAATTACGATAGTCGCAAGATGCGAAATGTGGGTTCAAAGTGCACTGAAAACAAAGTATTTAAAATCTAAAACTTGTTGATTTTTGTTGTTGGACAGCCATGATCTTATCAACTAAATACAAGTAGATTGTATGTGCAAGATTTAAGACACATTTATTTAAACTTTTGCCATTTTTAGGGTTTTAAGTGCACGAAAAAGTTGAAATAAAACACTTGGGTCGTTTTTTTACGCCCAATTAACAGATAAATTTAAAATTTCATGAAATTCTAAGAGAAAAAATGCATTTGTTTGGAAGAGTAAAAATTAGAGAAAACGCTTCAAAATGGCTTTTGTAAACAAAATAAAAAAGGAACGTTAAACATAAATAACATCACTTTTTCAGTAATTAACTACAAATTTATACAAAAAATTAACATATAAATAAATATAATTATAAATTATTACTAAAAAATTCATTATAATATTATACAAAATTGTACAATTTTATAAAACGCTTAGAATATTTATTTTCAAATATAAAATTTTTTTTACATATTTATAAGTAATTACAAAATCTGATAACCCTTGTAATAATAAAAAAATTTATTATTATTAAAATTTGTAATTACTATTTTTTAATTTTAATTTATTTTATTTTATTTAAATGTATTCCTCTAGAATATGCTTTCAGGGTATTCAGTCTTTAATGTGACCTGCAATTATCTAGATCGAGTTCGTACCGCTATTATTTTATTAATTAATTTCAATTATGCTTTTGTTGATTATATTCAGTTATATTGTAGAATAGATCACAACAATCACAACTCTAATCTACATTAAACAATTTATATTTAGCTTTTAATGTTTTGCGCTCTGTGTACAGTTTTTGGGAATTTTCGTGCGCATAAATCAAATGCTAACGAGCCATAAAGCTTCATTGTCAGGCCATGCACGAGAGTTCAATATTTGTATGTTATAGTTTCGATTTGATGTACGACAAACTGTTTTCGAAGGTGGCCTCTCAATCGCATCCCATCCCATCCCCAGCTCTGACCAGAGACGAGAGCGATGAGCAGAGTGCGTCATAATTCACTCAGCACTTGGTGGGTTTTCGTTTCGGATACGGTGACGTGAGGTACGGCTCAGAGTGTGCTCTGGTTCAGTATGGTTTGCGTGTCTGGAGCGACTTCTTCACTTGGTCAGTGGTCACTGGTCACTGGTCACTGGCCAGTGGTCGATTGTCGTTCGGTTCGGGGTAAAGATTGCTGTTCGTTCGGCTCTGGTCATGCCTTTGGCTTTGAATTATTGATGGGCGTATTAGGAAGATTAATGTGATGAGCTGTGGGGCACACAGAGTTTTGTCGTTCGTCGTTGTCGTTGGTCATGTTAATGTCTTCATTGTCGGCTTCAAGCTTCAAGCTTTACCTTTGCCGATGCCGTTGCCGTTGCCATTGCCGTCTCCCTTTTGTGGGTGGTGATTGTGTGAGTCTTAGTGCGTGTGTGGGTGAATCACTTCGATTGAGCACCATACAAAACAGCCATAACGTTCATCACTCTCCCTGCTTGCCACCACCTTCTCGGGCCTGGTCTTGGTCTTCCTTATTTTGGGTTGAGGTCGAATTGGTCATTTTGTCGTTCCTTACGGTTAGCCCTCGACTCGGGGCTGTTTCTCCTGCTTTTTTTTTTTGGTTGCATTGCGCGCGTCTATAAGCCATTTTTCTTCCTACTTCACATAAGTTTTAAGCTGTGTGTAATTTATTTTTATAGCCCCTGTTGCCGACGCAAAGATTGCAAATATGTAGTTGACCAGACCTGGGCGATTCGTTAGTTACGGTTGAGAGTTGTGGCTAGGAGGGGTTTGGGGTACCAATCACCCTATAAGTGTGTCAAGATCTCATCGATTTAGGGTTGCTATAGAGAATATTAATGACAGAGGGCGATTTTCTATAGAAAGATTCTTTTGCTATCAAGTAAAGTCCCTTTTCAATATTTGCACTTAATCTTCATTTGTGGACTACCACAGCAGGCAGCTTCTGTGTGTTCGGGTTCTCTGCAAAACTTCATTTCGCTTCTAATTATTGCATCCATCAGCAACAAAATGGGGCAAAATGGGGTTTTCAGCCATTACCCGCGGCTTATGCCTGGACTGCGGCAACCTCAGACATTGACTTTGGTCAAATTGTGGCAGGCCAGGCACATTTTGGAGCTCATCAGTAATACAGTTACATAGTTGACCCCCCCCAGTAGGGCAGGAGCAGGGGTAGGGCTAAGTGCAGGACTGGGGCTGCTACTGGTGCTGCTGTCCTGGGACTGGAGTCAAAGCCAAAACCGAAACCAATGTTGATTTTATTGCTTGCCGCAATGTTTTTAACTTTTGTGCGAACGCCGCCGCTGCTGCCACTGCTGCCACTGCCGCCGCTGTTGCTGTTGCTGTTAGTGTTGCTCCCCCGGGTGCAGGCAACTGTCGCGTTGCATGTTGCTGCTATTACTGCAGCACAGCATTTAACCACTCAGGCTACCCAGGCAACCAGCCCAAACCAATCCAGACCAGACCCAGACCCAAGCCGAGTCGAGCCGTGCCATGCCAAAACGTGCTGAGTTTTCGTAATTAGTGCACAAGAGTGCAGCATGATGGCCACGTGCAGCATTCAGGATGGGCCATGAGGCACGAGGCATGGAGCATGCGGCTGGGGCTGGGGTTGGGGCTGGGGCAGACAAGAAGTCAAACACTCTCCTCGGAGTTTAGCTGGGACTCACGTTTATGTGGGGCTGCCTTTTCGGCCTTTCGGAGTGTGACATGGCCATGGCAATGTCTGCGTCATCTATCGCCTGCTTGTGTCGGTTGTTTGTTCTGCTCCTGCCACTGCCACTGCCACTGCTGCAGTTGATCTGAGTAAGTTGTAAGTTGTAAGTTGTCGCCTTCAAGCCCGATCCTTTAGCCCACTCTTTGAGAAAATTGAATTCTCAATTGGGTGCTGCAGATTAGACCCAAAGAATAAAAGGAGTATGAAAGGTACTTGGAGGCTATGGTTCGAGCAAGACAGTTCCTCGATTCATTCCTTATTTAGTTCTGTAAGAAACAACTGTCTTTGATGTTGCTTTTGGTCTTTTTCTTAAGTAATCAATACTCGGAACATACCAAATCAGTTGTATAGTTTTTAAAAACTTTTGACAGTGGCAGTCGGCTCTTTATATCTGCCTCCTTCTCGTCCCGTCTTTTTTTTTTTTTTTTTTTTGGTGGCCCAGCAGCGCTAACGACATTGGCAGGCGGCAGCGTAGGGAGCAAACAGTTTTGAGCTGCCATGGCCTTAATTTTGCTGATTATGGCAGCAACCAGGCAAACTTTTGGCCATTAAAAAAGATTCGTTTTAATGAGTTTGGCAGACAAGGCAACAAGGTACCCCAGCCCAGGCCAGCCCAGGCCAGCCCAACGGGGCTCTCTCCATCCTCACCTCCACCTCCACCCACTTTATCGGTAGCAGAAAAAAAAACTGTCGCTGTTTATCTTTTGCCGGTCGGCAGTCAAAACGGCAGCCAAGGTCTGGCCCCCGAAACTGGACCTCAAATGTATATGGAAAATCTGCATTTTAGTGCAATTAACATTGGGGGATGGATGCAATGGGTTGCATCTGCATTGTGCTGTCTGTCTGTGCCATAAATCAGCATAAATTGAGTGCACAAATAAAGTAATTGTCCGCGGGGCCATTTATGGCCGTTTAATTTCTGGGCCAACACCAGCGGAAAGTAAGACTTTTACCTGTGGCCACATTTGGAGGCTAATTTAAGGAGCCGAGTCGATGATGAGGGCGCTATAAAATCACTTGTCCCGCTAATTGAATCTCCGCCACAATTAAACGAAAAAACTTTCTCGTTGTGGGCCCCCTTCATCAGAAGATTGACATCTGTCATGGCGATAACCGCAGAGGGACTTTGGGTTTGGTTTGGTTTTCCTTTTTTGCGATTTGGTTTTTGGCATAAAATGCAGATGCAACTGGCGCATTGCTCATTTTCTCACTCGCTCGTATTGGAGGAACTTGGGTAATTTCAATATTTCACAATAAATCGCAACGCCGCCAACGCTTTGGACTTTCTCTGAATCCGAATCCCCCATCACATAACGGTTTGACAATTTGCAATGCACCCGCGCCTGCGCCGCCTGTCACTCCA